ATACGCTGACCCGAGTTCAGGGGGCTCCTTTTTGCGTTCCTCCTCGATTATCTCGTCATTGAGTCCGCTCAAATAACTGTGAAGCCTCTCCTCAGAAAACTCTGATTTATCAGAATTATCATATGGTAGTAATTCAAACATCAGAGCCAAGAGTGTGTTTTCATGGATAGGCGCCGGCGGGATGGCGCCGCCTGACAACATACCCATAGCCATATCACAGACCTCCAATTTCAAATGCTCAAGCAATTTATCATTCAATCCCAACCCCTGGTTGCCAGCAGAAACCATGACACCCAAAAAATATAAGCCGCGCCACCCCGGACCCCGGGGAAGCGGCGAGCTGGGAGAGGACCACCACAACCAGCAGTTTTATTTAGCTGGATGATGATAGGTGGTCTAAACTCACTAACTCGTTACCGGAAACATATTGTACTGCCGTAAATGCAATTTCGTTGAATCTGGGGCCCGGGCCAGCGGTTTTCGACGGCGACGTCGACTGGTCGCAGAGCCCTACTATTAGTCATGGTAATCCGTTGGGGGAGGACAACCCACGGGTGTCGCTCCTCGTCGGGCATGTAGAGAACGAATGATATATTTTCCAAGAATCCAATCGGCTCATCCCATTGGTCGGACGAGATCTCAGCTAGCTGAGTTTCATCGCTCCACTGGTAGCCGCTGCCATGGAAACGCAACCGCTGGCAGCGGGCGTCCCGTATGACCCGGGCCGGAGGACTGCTTTCGGACACATGGACAACCGCACAGCCCCTGACGCGCCTGTGAAGGAGAAGCGCACCAAGGGCTACGTCAAGTTCAAGGAGTTAACGGTCGACCGGGAGACATGGGACGCGCTGGTGCCGTACATGGAGGACGCGACCGTGGAGAAGGTTCGGGTACACCACAGCGAGGATGGGGCAAAGGTGTGTAAGGCTGATTCTCAACCGCTGAGCAAGGCGCTGAAAAAGTTGCTTCGACGGCCAACTGCCGCAGCAACTGCCGGACCGGTTCAAACTATGGACGCGGGGTGCCAAGTGAGTGACCAGGATTTAATGGGGCCCATCTCTAAGAGAAGAAAAAGACTTCCTTCAGACACCTTTGAAGCTGGCTTATCGAACAGTGAAAAAAATATGATCATGAGGGCATTAGGGCGTGAGACATGGAAGCAACCGGAGGAGCTCGGGAGCGACCAGTGGATGGTCTGCCAGAGAACTGTGCTGCTCATCCATGAGCTGAAGAAGAGTAAAATGTGTCCCATTACAGGGAGAGATCAGACCCTGGACGCGTGGCACACCATGATGATCTACATGGTCCAAAATTTGTATTCTGCAGAGCACCGTTTTGGTGGTTTATGGGCCACCATTACAGTTCAAGTCTTAACCCAGTTTAGTGCCCAGATTGGACAGCCCTGGAAATGGGTGTGCCAGTTGGACACCAGGGCCAAACTTTCGATCGGTGACATCCAGAACATGCATGACATTACGGTGAAACTGACAGACCAGTGGTTCGTGTCGGATTTCGGGCGGCGCATGCCCAGGAAGCTAAGAGGCAATTGGATCATCCCTCATCATGTCAAATTGAGAGTAAAAATCAAGGAAGCTACCGCTTTCATGTCTGCTATGTTTAAGCTGGATTTTAAAATTCCAGCTAATGATATGGGAATAAAGATTCATGATGGTGATTACGCTGCTCTCGGAGATTTTCAGAATGGTCTCGAAATTTACCTTCAAGACAATGGCCTGAATGACAGGGGACACAGTCCAGCTGATGCGGTGGAGGTTAAAGGAACCGGCGATAATGGCCAAGTGACCGCTCATCAGTCAGTCACTTTTGCTGCCGTACAGCTACCAGGGGCACCTGCCAGGGATGCTATTGATGGGTTATTAAACAGAAAATTCCAGAGCACAGGTAATCTGCTGCCATCTGGGGCCATTATGCATAAAGAGACTGGCTTATTATGGCATGCGTTTCCTGCATTGAACATGGTCTACAGGTTCAAGAGGGAGTTGGACAAGAGGGGTGGTTACTTCAATCATAAGCGGCTTGGGAGAAAGTTTTACCTGATGATAAAATCGGCTAAGGACCTCTCTTCTACATGGAAAACCAGCGGTACTGTCGAGGAGGAAAATGGAATAAAAAAAGTTAAGTGTAGAGGTGGAGCTGCAAAGAACAGCAAAAATCCCTGCCACCTCTGTCCTGTGCATGATGACAACCTGCATGTTCC